AGAAAATCTAGGATGATTATTCTCTTGTATTGACAATTTATGGTTTTGTGGCATTTAATGCGATATCAGTTATCAGTGTTGGAGCTTAAAATATATCAAAATGAATTTTTGAAATTTGTTAGCTGGTACACATTATAAAGTATTGTGGTTCATTTTAGCCACAGAAGATAATTTCGTGATATTTCTCTATTTTTGCTGAGTGAAGCCTGAAGTACAAGATCCACCCCGAGTCACAAAAAGAGTAGAAATGACATTGAAGTCAGTTGTTAGGAAAAGTACATGCACATAAATATAAGACGTCAACACCAGAGATTAACCAGTCTCGAGTACCCGACGATAAAGATTCCATTTGAAGTAACTGGCAAAACAGCGGTGAGATTTATATGAGTGAGTGAGTATGGTTTTACGCCGCTTTTAGCAATATTCCAGCAATATCACGGCGGGGGACACCAGAAAGGGGCTTAACACATTGTACCAATGTTGGGAATCGAACCCGGGTCTTCGGCGTGACGAGCGAACGCTTTAACCACTAGGCTACCCGACCGCCCCAGATTTATATGAATGGATCACTTAAAATCAGTGATGACACCGTGTGTTCGCGAAAAGAGTAAGCATGGCCTGCTATACTGGCAGCAATACCGCAAGTCTACACTCACAATATGCATGAAAAGCAAATGGTTGCTTGATGCTTGACGTCGCACAGCTCACTTGCGTTCAAAGAAAGTAGTCCACTAACTTCACATGGGGCGAGAAACATACTGCGCATGACTGTAGTGGATGCTTCAGGTACAGCTGGACATGCTCACCCTTTTCGCGAACACCTGGTGCCATCACTGAACCCCCCTCCCACAAAGCGATCTCAGCGCTGAGACGATCATACTTTCAATACTTAACACAAACTTACAGTTGTTGTTGTTTGTTGTTTAACGACACACTCAGCAATAGTCCAGCTATATGATGGTTGTCTGTAAATAAGTCTGGACCAGACAATCCAGTGATTGACATCATGAAAGTAGATCCAAGCAATTGGGATACGATGACATGCATCAACCAAGACGGTGAACCTGACCACCTGATTCCGTTAGTCGCCTCTTACGGCAATCATAGTCGCCTTGGATTGCTATTCTGACCCGGATCTTCACGGGTCCACAAACTTACAAAGTCGTAGTGTTACGATCGCTTTGTTGATGTGGGCCTAGGACAGAGACATCTTAGTCCTTGTCCTTGTGAAGCTAAAGCTGAAGCTTTAAATTAACAAGACATGAGTAAATTAAGCAAACGGCAATGACATCTTAAGGAAATAACAATTCCTAACACCTAATGTTAAAATCACTTCATTGGTGCTCTGTGATAGACCGTGCGTGTATTTCAGGCTGCGCTGGGTGGTTCTTCGCAAGGTGGTAGTAAGACTTCACTGGTATTACGCTTCACAGCATGAGACCAGTCAATGAGAAAATCCAGTTTCTCGTTCCTTGCCTTGTAATGAAATGGAATTTATTTCCGACTCCATAGGGCTTTACGTCTGGCACTGGTAAGACATATCGACGCAAGGTCCATCGACTTCGAGGTTCTTGCTCGAAGCTGTTTCTAGCACATTGTGTTCTCTGATTGCTCCACGGTGTGGGTAACCTAGTGGTTAAAGCGTTCGCTCGCCACGCCGACGACCCGGGTTTGATTCCCCAGATTTGTAATGTGGGAAGCCGATTTCTTGTGTCCCCCGCCCTGATATTGCTGAAATATTGCTACAAGCGGCGTAAAACCATTCTCACTCACAACATCAGCTGTTTACCAGCTATTACAAGTATCGGTGACCCGTGAAGATCCGGGGTAGAATAGGTCTTCAGCAACCCATGCTTGCCGTAAAAGGCGACTATGCTTGTCGTAAAAGGCGACTAACGGGATCGGGTGGTCAGGCTCGCTGACTTGGTTGATGCATGTCATCGATCCATATTGCGTGGATCGATGTTCATGATGTAAATCACTGGATTGTCTGGTCCTGACTCGATTATTTACAGACCGCCGTCATATAGCTGGAATTTTGCTAAGTGCGGCGTAAACCAAACCAAACCAAACCAAAACTAGTAGCGGTAGTTATTTGCACTGGGGTCGGCAATGGAGCTCTTCTATAAATTCACAACGCTTCCTTATAAGGCATTCAGATAATTCCTGCCTTGCGGTTTTTAAAATAATGGTGTTTACAGAACGCTCTACATCAGTCGATGGAGCAAACATCCGCTCGTCAGAGTTGTGTTTGTTTGGGTGTTCGTCTGTTTTCTGATATTTGTTTTTATATTGTTTGACATGTTTGTTTTAGTGATTGTTCAGGCTTTGTGTGTTGTGTGGCGTTGGAACAGGTGATGGAAATGGGGAGGGTACAAGAAGGAGTTTCATTCTACGCGTATGTAATTTGGATATATTCATTTTGGCAATTGTGTTACTCTCGGGGTGCTATGAAGCACAGTTAACAATGGAATAAAATAAAAGCGACAATATTCTTTCAATATTCATAATAAATCTCTGCAGAAAGCAGAGTAAATTGTACAATTTTATCATATATATATATATCTATATCTATATCATATCATGAGGTGAGGCGATTTGGAGTTTAATGTCGCATTCAAGGTTATTGTCCTTATGTAGCAACATGCATACATGAGCGTGTGTGTGTGGCTGTGTGTGTTTGGGGGGGGGGGGGGGGGGGGGGGAGGTGCTCTTGTACTAGTCTGGACTTATGCCGGTTTTATAGTGCTACCCCACCGAGACACTGTACTATACGGGTGTTTACCATGCAATCTCGGCAATAACTTATTATACTGACTCCTAACCGACCAGTCCTTGTTTTATCATGTTATAATGACGAACGCCAGACAGGGAAACAACGTCGTTTTGTTTGACGCGGCAAGAGAATCGAACAACAGACCTTCCGCTCTCGGGACAGACGTTCCATTTTCTAGACTACTGAACACATGTGTTTATGAATCACTACTAAATTGGGATGATACCAGGTACTCGCGAAAAGGTGAGCGTATCCTGCCCCTCTGCTTACATCCGTCACAAACGCACGCAAGTCAAGTCAATGGAAGGCATTTCATTTTGTGACAAGGGATTGGAACTACTACGGCTGGTATCTGTAAAGAAAACATCGATATATGTCATTTGGAAATCATAGAAGTCTCTCAGAGGATTTTAAATAATAGTGTTCAGGGATAGGCGTCTGTTTGTAATGCAGGAAGACTTTAATCTTTTTATTAAATGGCGTGGTAACATTCCAAGGCATTTTCCCACTTCAAAGGGTTTCTCAGACGCAATTACTGCCTCAGTAGGTTCAGTACGTTCACGCGTGGGAGCCTGTACCTCCTTATACGTCAACAGCAATGACGGTAAAACAACGTCGTCGAGTGCACCACGAGGTTGACAGAGGGCCCACTAACTTAACCATTACACACGTTACACGAGACTCTGCGGTACTAATGTTATTAGTTTTAATTTCCACAAAAGCAATCAGTGACATGTCAGAAATGACACCACGTGAGATGTGCTTAAAATAAGGTCATTTACTAAGGACATTACCTCAAGATATTCTGGCGGTGATTTTTTATATATGCAACAACGCCAGCGTACAATTGTAAATGAACAAAATAAATGCTGTTTATGTTCTAGCATGTGAATACCTGCTGTGAAAATACAAATATTTATTCACCGATTCCTAAGCGTCCTTTATGAAACCGATGTTACTCATTTTGAGTTGAGCATTATCAGCTTACTGCTATATTAATGTTTCATTTGTGTGTGATACTCAAGGCATGCAACATTGTGAGGCCCAAACAAAGACTATGTCTACCATGTGGTTCCACAAACCTCATCACGTCGTATGGCTTTACCAGGATCGGCTGACCACCGGTTCGAATCCCAGACCTTTAATCGCTCAGCCCCAGGCCAGTGGTCGTTACTTTCTCAACGGTGATACATATAAGTCTCTTTGGACCTCCTTCCACATTAAACTGACAACCGTGATATAAGTAACTAATGTTTAAAGCAGCGTTAAATCCAATGAAAAAACGTGTTGACAGTCGAGGCAGGTCCAACTCAGTGGTGCAGCGTCGTCTCCCCATGCTGCGATCACGTTTTTTTATGCCAATATGCCAGAAAAGGAATGTGACGTTAAATTTTTAACTCCGTCATTCGTGATATTTTCCCTAATAATAAGTGACTTATGTCATGTCTGATGTATGTCAAAGTATGTGTTGTTGGCTTTCATGTATGTTTTAACAACCTTGCATGGCGGTAGTGTTAATTCTGGCCCTGTTTAAACCTGTATGGTTCGTGTCATGAGTGACTTTGGGGCAGAACAGAGATGGCGAGACATAATGTAGCTTTAAAGCGACAAAACCCTTTCCATATCCAATAGAGTCGATCGTACAATTCCGACTATATCATGAGCATGTGTTTATGAATCACTTTCATATAGTGATGGTACCAGGTGTTCGCGGAAAGGTGGCCGAATCCTGCCCCACTGGTGGTACCCGTCACAAACACATGCAAAGGCAAGTCAAGTGTAATGTAAATGTAAACACCAAAGGTATACGAACTGATAGAAAACTAAATTACATCTAATACGCAAATTGAATAAAAGTGAAGATGAATTTCACTTTTTTCTTGAATGTTCAAAATATTCAGGTCAATTTGAATACTACTGAGTTTTATGATCAGTTAAACTAAGAAATAACAAGCCAGTTTTACATCTCTCTCCATAAAGTATGTGCATGAGCAGGTGTAATAAATATCTTACACTCAGCTTGGGAGAGACACATTAGATCTATTACCGCGCACACTTTCCTCAGGGACAAACGTAAAGAGGGAGAAGAACGAACGTTCCAAAATATTTTTCTGCTTATTGCGGTATTTGCGCTGCTGTCTCGAATTCCCAGAGTCGTCAGTTATCTTATCTATTATTGATAGATGCTCTTTAAGAAGTAAGAACAAGTAGAAGATCCGCTTACATTGACATATGATGAAACTGGGATCTCACGGGGCTGGGTATGGTTGTACTTCCACAGCAGCTGCTTCGATAAATAATCAGCTGGAAAGGAAAACCGTCCATAGTCTTATGACGTGTTCTGTGTATAAAAGTGTGCCTTGGCAGGGAGATAAATCCACAGTGTGTATTACGTTTGTTGTGCTTTTAATTCTACTTTACAATATCGGTTAAAATGATTCACAAGGGATGATTGATACGTTCTGAGACTCACATAGAAATACTGCACCTAAGGACATTAACATTATACATTTTTCAATATTAACCCCTCCTCCAGGTTGATACACTTTTCCCAACGCTGTTGGATGGGTTTTATCCAAGATTTATCCAATGTTCTTCACTCTCGTTGGAGTCGTACTGTCCGTAATGTTCTTCACTCTCGTTGGAGTCGTACTGTCTGTAATGTTCTTCACTCTCGTTGGAGTCGTACTGTCCGTAATGTTCTTCACTCTCATTGGAGTCGTACTGTCCGTAATGTTCTTCACTCTCGTTGGAGTCGTACTGTCCGTAATGTTCTTCACTCTCATTGGAGTCGTACTGTCCGTAATGTTCTTCACTCTCGTTGGAGTCGTACTGTCCGTAATGTTCTTCACTCTCGTTGGAGTCGTACTGTCCGTAATGTTCTTCACTCTCGTTGGAGTCGTACTGTCCGTAATGTTCTTCACTCTCGTTGGAGTCGTACTGTCCGTAATGTTCTTCACTCTCATTGGAGTCGTACTGTCCGTAATGTTCTTCACTCTCGTTGGAGTCGTACTGTCCGTAATGTTCTTCACTCTCGTTGGAGTCGTACTGTCCGTAATGTTCTTCACTCTCATTGGAGTCGTACTGTCCGTAATGTTCTTCACTCTCGTTGGAGTCGTACTGTCCGTAATGTTCTTCACTCTCCTTGGAGTCGTACTGTCCGTAATGTTCTTCACTCTCGTTGGAGTCGTACTGTCCGTAATGTTCTTCACTCTCGTTGGAGTCGTACTGTCCGTAATGTTCTTCACTCTCGTTGGAGTCGTACTGTCTGTAATGTTCTTCACTCTCGTTGGAGTCGTAGAGCTATTGTTATGTTTGGGAACGGTAGGAACAAAGCGACAGAACCCTTTCAATATCCAATAGAAATCTCTGCATAAAGCAGAGACCAGTGTACAATTCCGACTATAGCATGAGCATGTGTTTGTGAGTCACTATCAAATAGTCATGATACCAGGTGTTCGCGAAAAGGTGAGCACTGTCACAAATACATGCAAAGGCATGTCAATTGTTCATCTGAAAAAGCACGGGAACATATGGTACAAGTCAAGATAGGGAATTGCATCGGATATCTGACAGAGCCAGATCAGGAAATTAAGGTTGGTGCTGAAGATGCAGGCTATATTCCGAGATAAGCGGCCTTAAACTCGACCCACTCACTCACTCACCTTTTATGTTCATTATTAACTATTGATTTACCTCAGAATTGTTCTCCATCTCTCATGAACTGTGTAGCGGGAACCAGAAAGAGTTCTATGGTCATCGTCTTACGTTGCTATTTTTCAGATGAAGTTTTGTTTGTTAGTTTGTTTGTTATTTAACGCCGCACTCAGCAATATTCCAGCTATATGACAGGCTGTAAATATTCGAGTCTGGACCACACAATGCAGTGATTGATATCATTAGCATCGATCCACGCAATTGGGATACGATGAAATTCATCAACCAAGTGACCCGATCCCGGTAGCCGCCTTTTACGGCAAGCATGGGACCTATTACCCCGGATCTTCACGGGTTTTTTAGATGAAATGGAATTGCATCACTATACCTAGAAGGCCCTTTACACGGAGAAACTGGAGTCGGGTTGCATCCGAGTGATATACGGTCAATAGGCATTTCATCAAGAGTGCAAACAGAAGAACGTTTAGTTTCAATGAAACACTCTGAAAGACGGCAAATGATCGGAGCTTCTCCATTTCAGTTCTCAGGTGTTAGTGGAAGCATGTTGTATTTCAGGATTGCCTGCAGAAAGCACAGTCATTAATATTTATTCACGAACACACCAAAACCACCTGAATCAATAAACGCTCTCTCAAACTCAAACGAAGGTTGTATTCATTAAAATGGCAGTAAACAGAACATTTCTTGCCATTAATGCTGTCTGACGGCAAAGTGATCTTAAAGTTGCATGTATTTGCTTGCTATTCGAATTTGAGTTTTGGGAAGAACTATATTAGATGATCTTTATCTACGTCTAGTATTTTGTCAACTGCACTTTAGTTGATAATGGTTCGCTCGTCACGCCGAAGACTCGGGTTCGATTCCCGAAATGGGTTATATGTGTGAAGCCAATTTCTGGTGTCCCCCGCCATGATATTGCTGGAATATTGCTTAAAGTGGCGTAAAGCCATACTCACTCATTTTCTGCTCTTCGTTAACAATAACAAGATTTCTTCATGCAATCATGTAAAGGAATTGTATTTTTATGTTGGAGAAGCTGTCCAGTCGTCAAAGGCGCCGCAATTCGCTGTGCTGATCATGAGTTGGGTCACCTTGGAGTACAAGAAAACCTTTGAACCTTTTACAAGGGGCATCGTGCTTGTGTGTTGAACATGCTCGTGACGTTGGCTATGCTTACATGTATATTCCTATATGCAAGGGGTCGGTGTACGTGTATCTGTAGGAAGTGACAACAAGGAGTCGATGGCTTACTGTATTTACAAGTTTACTTACAAGTGGATATATGCAAGAAGCATTATGTGTCAGGTCAGCACATAGTGGTTGTTGTGTTGGTGCCTGAACACCTTCCCTAACCCTAGCTAGGCTAAGAGTGAGACCACCTACTTTTCCTCTCTGGACCAAGGCTTATATATCCCAGGTCATCTGACACGGGGATAAATATATACAACAGTAATAATGAGAAGTGACATAGCTGCATAGCTCGTTCAGAATGACTGACAGTCAATGTGCAATACAATTGGGTTTAACAGTTTGGATTAGCATCTTAAAAATTATGGCATTTAAGTATACATGTCGTGGCCTCAGGGTAAGCCATTCGAATAAAATTCTCATTCAGACAATGGATGTCAATCGGTCGCTGTGACACTTTGATCAGAATCCCGGTTTGCCATGATTGTATTTCTGGATTTGTCATCACTATACACCACAAACCTGTGATCGTGGGCTTCGAATCCAGTTTCACCAAAGTGGTAAACGACTAAGACCTGCATCACTTCGGGATTTCCTCCCACACCAAGCTGACACATAGTGGTATATCTGGAACACTGTTCAAACGGCGTTGAACGAAACTTACTCACTAGTCAATTATTAGTAGTATTACATTGAAAGTATATGGGTTTCAGTAGTCAAGGGGCAGGTATGATGTTGATATGTTGTTACGTCTTAGTAATTGACTCGAACAACCAACAACCGCGTTATATTGCACCATCCGCTGGACCAACTTACCGCCCTATCCTCTCCTCAATAACGGGTATAAAACCCATAAGTAAGGATAAGATATATGGATGAACAACATCTTTATTACAATTAATAAACTTCACCGAAACGTCGCTCCCAATTGTAATAAAGAAGTTGTTCATCCATATATCTTATCCTTACTTAGAACTTCAACTAATATATACCTCTAAAAAAAACTTATAAAACCCACAGACATGTTTATTAACAGAGGAGATGTTTGACGTTATTTACTCAGTCAGTAAATTCGGAAGAGATCATTAACCTGTTTCGCGAAACTTACGTTTCTGAATTTGATGGCTTTAACATAAAAACTGGTACCGAAGTTGAGAAATGTAATCCAGAAAATAACGGATGGCAACGTCATGAGAGATACCTCTCATGAGCATGGCGTAGATATATACGGGGTTTTATGCAACCTAAACGTACCATGTATATTTTAAGTAGAGAAACCCCAAGGCTGTGACTATTTATTATTTTTTAAGGTAGCTTCTTTGCTGTAGTAAACAGATGTGTTTGTCAGAACTTCCTAAGTACATGCGCTCTAAAGGGACAGAACGACCATACATGGGAGCTAACACACTCTCGCAGCCTGAACCAGTTTCTAATCACATCGGAACAGTTTAATTGCTGAACTGGGAGTGTCAAGGAGAAGGTTAAATTCGTGTGATTTATCTTCTACTTCAAAATGTTGTAGAAAGCTTTCTGAACAATTTTTGTTTTACATTATACTGACACTGTGATTGTTGACGCGATGCAGACACTAGCCTTGGTGACGTCACATGACGTATTAACGCCATCATCATTGACGTCGTATGAACACTGTTAGCTGCATGACAAGGATCTTACTGTTACAGATGATATTTCTCTTTCTCTACAACCATGGAGATGAGAGAACGCCAACTATACTACGGGCATGTGTTTATTAATCACTATCAAATAATGGATATTTTCATGTGTTCGCCAAAAGGTGAGCGTATCCTGTCCCACCGGTGGCACCCGTCACAAACACATGCAAAGGAAGTCAAATGTGCTACAAATTCGAAAAGCACGGGAACATATAGTTCGAGTCAAACTAGGGAATCGTGTATCATTTTGGTCACAAATGCGTCAATTTTTTTAAATGGCTACCATGAAGCTTTAAAAAAGTTTAAAGACCTATAGTGTTGTAACCCTGATCAATAAACATATGATCAAGAGTCGTGAGGTGCTCTTTGAAATCTTCTTATAGAGACACTACGGTATTATATTTTATATTTTCACACATTGTTAAATACTTACAAGGCATATATAAGACATCACAAATCTTAGTCATGTTGTTACAAAACATTTTACTCTTTTTTCATATTTAGTCAAAATCATGAATGGCAATTTTTTTAATTTGAATTTTTTAATAACATTGTGTTAGCATAATGTGATTAACTGTTCTGCAAGACCCGTGTCGTGAAAAGGAGCCGAGACAGAGAATTTGGTGTTATTAACGGTACCATGTGTCTTTGTTCTACAATTCATTTTGTCAATTATATCATGAAGTTAATAGTAAGAGCTTCCCATATACCATCGTACAACTTCCTTAGATGCAAAGCGTATGGATGGTAAACATATATTGTGTGTGGTCAATGGTACAGTGGATCAAGTAAGGTTTCTCCGGTAAATAATTATCTGAGTGGTCTATTGGCACTTAGCCAAACCGGGAAGTATCATTACATCACACGTATTGACATATACCCTCTACAGATTCCTATGCTTATTTGTAATGAGTTTTGAGAAGAATGTGTTTTCATTGATACTGCTAGTTTGTTTGTTTTTTAACGCCGCACTCAGCATTTTTCCAGCTATATGACGACGATCGGTGAGTATCGAGTCTGGATGAGACTATCCAGTGATTGAGATCATGAACATCCCCGTTAAGCTGGTCGTAAGAGGCAAACAAATGGGTAAGGTGGACAGACTCAATGAATCATCGTACCCCGAAGGCGTTGATCTTTGCTCACAATATCAATCACTGGATTATCTGTTTCAGACTCCATTTTATACAGGCCGTCGTCATGTAGCTGACATACTGATGACAGCGGTGTTAATCAAACGACAAACAAGATAATGATGCGCTACAAACTCGCGGAGAGTTTCGGGTACTAATACCTCGCCTGAAAACTCTTTCAATTTCCATAGGAAATATTTGTTAAAATCAGAGTTCTCTGTACAATTCTGATGCATTCCGTACACATAGGTCTTACAATGTTTCCCTTCACTGAAAATCCGTATTCACGGCAGTGGTATTTCCTCCATGTTCTCTGTGACGGGTGCCACCGACGCAGCAGGATACGCTCACCTTTTGGCGAACATCAGTATTTGATAGTGATTCTTAAACACATGCTCATGATGTAGTCGGAATCGTACAATGAACTTGTTGGCAGAGATTTCTTATGATTATGAAAATGGTTTTGTCCCTTTTCAGAATTGCTCTTCAAATATTACTCTTTGGTGTTTGTTTAAGGCGACATATTGTTGATTTGGTGTCTACAATGATAGATGCTCTGATGTTTTCACATGAGTGGGTGATTATTATTTGATTTCGACAAAGTTTTTCTTATGGTGTTTTTTAAGACAATTTCGTAGGATGTTTTATACTACATAATCATGCAAATATCTCGTCTGTTACAAATTTCATTACATTTCAGCGTAATATTGAAAGTCGTTTTCGAACACTGACAGTACATCTCAGTACTACAATGTGTATTTGACAAGGGTAGTAATTTTTTTTTTTAAAGAATTCTAACATAAACAACTGGGTCATTCCATAATTATGTAAATATCTTGTCAATCACATCGATACTTTTCATCTTTTTGTAATACTGACAACCTGTTTTGAAACGAGCTGACAGTGACAATACCTAGATGCGGCAGATTATGTAATGGTTATAGTACTACATATTTCATTGGGTTTGAAAACGCCAGACGCTTCAAAACATCTACTTCTCAAGGTGTCTTCTGGCTGGCAGCAACATTTCAATAATTGCACGTCAAGATTCAAACTTCTCATCTATATGAATAATGTTCCAGCTTGTGTATGTTAAATATGTTAATTTCCCAAGCGTCTGTTCATTCTTATATCGAACGTTGACAACACTGAATAATTGATGTGTCTGCCATGACGTTGTTCATGCAAATGTTTATAAGTAATCTTATTATTATTATCTTTAATCAAGGCATGGAAGTTGCAAACGTGACATTTGGAATGTTGAATGAAATGCCCTATTCATCAGACAAGTGTCAAACAATATGTTGCGCTACATTTGGAAAGAGATTGGTCGCGTCAAAGCCTTGGGGATATATATATATATATATATTCAAGGATAGCCACCCACCAATCACTGTAAAGTTACAACGATGGCACTACATGTTTGAGAGACGAGTGAACGTGTCTTACCCTACCTGCAACTCCCAGGAAGGTAAGTACAGATGACCTATAAGCGTATATGTTAAATAGATAGATCTCTTGCGAGTAAACTGACCATGCTGTCAGTCCGCGTTATACGTGGTTCAGGACGACGCCCTAGGGAATCACTCCTCCTATTATCCAAGCGACAAAACCGTTAAACCGGTTGAATGCCACACAATATTATTACCGAGCTGAGACGGATGTGGTCCTGAGACATAGCATCTTCAAACAATAGGAACACATGATCAATACGCTATGAAACATTGAAACGTTTACGTCTGACACCTTAAATGCATCCGGGTTTATTTCAGTTCTTGTCAGTGCTGCATGTCAAGAAAGGCTTTCGTGAACACCTGGTGTCACTACTGATATTCATATTATTTTCACCGCTATTTTTTATTTTACGCCCCATTGATTCCGTTTCGGGGAAATCAAACGTCGACGTTATATATTTATGCGCATGCGCAAACTGACCACAATGTCATTTCAACTCTTTCTGTGTCTTGATGAGGAGCGCGTATAGCTTTAGTTAAATATGTCGGTGACGTGTTGTATACCGGTCTCGACGTCAAGTCAGTAGGTTGGGTCCGGATAGTGTCCTTCAGTTGATGTTATCACAAACAGATGACGTGTCGTTTATCATTACAGTAACATTCCTTAACACGGACACAGTGATAAAACTCAGGACTTTAGGAAGTCTTGAACGTGTTCCAGGTAGTTTTCATTGATTGTAAGATTGCTGTCTAGCTATAGGCGTCATTGGGGTTTGGTCAGTCATGCGCATGTTATATGACAACGAGAGACTCACTGAATGAGAGTCTATTTGATCGATGTTGATGCCCATGTGACAAAGTTTGGTGTTGTTCCTGTAATACCAGAGAAGCATCACCATATAAGGAATTATCTCTATCTCACAGAATTAATAAAACGACAAAACTCTTTCCATATCTGTTACAACTGGATCCATTATACGATTCTGACTATATCATAAGCATATGATTATGAATCACTATCAAATTGGGATGATTCCAGGTGTTCGCGAAAAGGTGAGCGGATCCTGCCCCTCCGTACCTGTCTTAAACATACAAGGCGCAAGTTCACCTGAACAAAAACCACGGGAACATACGGTACAAGTCAAAATTGAGAATTGCATCGGACATTATTTTTGTCGCTGATGCGCCAAATTTGGAGATGCCCTCGACGTGTGTACCATAACCGTTTTGAAAGCTTTGCTGAGGCCTGTAAAGCTGTAACCTGATCAAACAACTATTGAGCAAGAGTAGTTTGAGATTTCCAGTTGTTCCTGCTTGACACTGTCGTCAGAGCCGAGTGACGGGGCTCGGGTGTAAGCTGTGTGACTTGAATGCCTGAGTGGCATCGTTCCACGGCGGCCTGGTTCGTGATCAGTAACTGGTGTGCCTCCCCGAATATTGAAGTGGGGCGAGGTGAAATTGGGTTTAACGTCGCGTCCAAGATTATTGCACTTATATAGCGACGTGCATGTACGTGTGTGTGTTTGTGTGGCTGCTTGTACTAGTCCGGATTGATGCCGATTTATAGTGCTAGCTCACTGAGATACCATGCCGCAGTTTAACATGAATACCCCACTCAGACACGGTATACTGACTCCGAGCCGACCAGTCCTTGCTTTAAACCCCTTAATGCCGAGCGCCAGACAGGTTAACAACAAGTACCATCTTTTAACATCTTTTGGTATGACGCGGCCGGGGATCGAACTCTGGACCTTCCGCTCTACGGGCGGACGCTCTACCACAAGACCACGGAGGCGGTCCCCCGAATATTGACACTCTTCCCTGGAATAATGCAGACTGCTGGTACAACAACAGACACACAAATATAAATACAAAGATATATAAGTCCTTATACAACTATGTAATAGAAGATCGGTTCGACTGAGCTATAGGGGCGGACTCTTATCTATGGTATTGACCTGTAGCCACTGAGTTGTTTCAAGATGGCGGTCAGGTAGCCTAGTGGTTAAACCGTTCGCTCGTCACGCCGAAGACCTGAGTTCGATTCCCGACAAGGGTACAATGTGTGAAGCCCATTTCCGGTGTCCCCCGCCGTGATATTGCTGGAATATTGCTAAAAGCGGCGTAAAACCATACTCACTCACTCACTCACTGAGCTCTAGGGGCGGTCGGGTAGCCTAGTGGTTAAAACGTTCGCTCGTCACGCCGAAGACCCGGGTTCGATTCCCGACATGGGTACAATGTGTGAAGCCCATTCCTGGTGTCCCCCGCCGTGATATTGCTGGAACATTGCTAAAAGGGCGTAAAAGCATACTCACTCACTCACTGAGCTATAGTCTAGCATTGAGTCAACTATTATAACACACTATAGGATGACACGGTCAGTGTTAATGGCAGTGTTCTGTTACTCGTCTCTCGCCCATTTCATCGTAGCAGACTTTATAATGCATCAGATGAATACAAACATCCATGGGCCGTGTGCAGATGTTCCATAAACATCACTGATGTGACGTAGCTGTTATAACACTGCCTCTACTGGACATGACTCATGTGCCATGGCAACATCACTGATGTGACACAGCTGTTATAACACTGCCTCTACTGTACATGACTCGTGTGCTATGGCAACATCATTGCCTCCATATGATGCAGACCAGTTTCTGATATGAATACACAATGTCATTTCGATAGTGGTAAAATGTAACAAATGTTATATTTGGGATAACACTAGCTTAGGAAAGTGCCACACTCTGAGAGTGTGGGTTCGAATCCCGGATGGGACTCCACCAAAAAACAATAAGGAAGTGTTATACCAAATTCAACATTTGTTACATTTGATCACTCTCAAAATGGCATTGTGTATTCGTAGTTTTCGGCCATGGGAGCCGTGCCAATTAGGATACGCGGCCCAGACTACCAGTTGTCGGACTTCAATTTTTGTGGAAGCCTCAGCGGCTGAGTAGGTTAGGTCGCTGACTTTGTGTGCTGGAACTTGGTGCCTCACTCTGAGAGTGTGGGTTCAAACAAAGCATGGTAGAATACTATTGGGATACTAATTGCAGTGTCGGTAAAGCTAATGATTTTGACACACGTGAAGTTCCGGTTTATACTTGGTCTTCAGCAACCCAGGCTCGATTATTTCAGACTGCCGTCATGTTGCTGGAATATTGCTGTGTACGGCGTTAACCAACAAACAAACAAACACATGTTTATGACACTTCTCTAGTTCACAAGAATAAGTACTGTTGAAATGCAGATACGATCATTATGAAAATAAATAACAGACCAGTTGGTGAATACTTTTTCAAAACGGTGTTATCCATCACCATCAGGTGAATGATGAAGGAGTAAGCATATACTCCAAAACGTTGTGTTCCTCCAATAAAGACGTTGACAACCATCAATTCTCTTCCTTATGTGTATCCATTCTAAATGCCTCTCAAAGACTTGATCAATACGATAGCAACATAACATGCAAGGTTTAATGATTTAAGCATAATGGAAGACATGATGGCATATGGCAGGCAGATAGTTTCATCGATTTCCGCTTAATGATGTGTATAATCTATTGTGAACGGTTTCATTTGAAGTCAGTGTGTTTCACGTAGACTTAAAGCTTCATCAATAAACTAATGATGCAATTCCCTATTTTGACCTGTATCAGATGTTCCCGTATTTATTCCGGTGAAGAGTTGACTTGTCTCTGCATGTGTTTGTGGCAGATACGCTCGCCTTTTCGCGAACACTGGTATCATTATTATTTGATTCAGAAACACATGCTGATGGTATAGTCGGAATCGTACAGTTGAGATACATTTGTTTTAAGGAAAGGGTATTTTCGTTTATTTTTTCACAAATGTAATGAAATATCCAAAGTGAAAATCATGGAACAATCCTGGAAGATAAGTTACTCCGTGTTAAGTAATATATCGAGTTAAAGGCGCTCAAATTAATTAAGCTTCACTTTCACAGTAGATAACCTTGGCGTCAAAAATTGAACAAGTTGTATCTGTGTGGTGTTTCCGTGTAGTGCTACTGCCTCCCACACACATACTACAGCGTGTTCCAAGGGTCCCAGAATTCTGACAAAGGCTTATTCTTGGTGTGTCATATCTAATCTTGTCCATCCTTTTCAAATGGAAGGTAACTGTATGTGTCTATCGTGGGCGTGCGTGACGGCAGGACGCCGCTTGTACACAGACATCAATGCGGCCTGCTGGGTCGTCGTTGTCAGATCTGACAGATTCAGGGGAGGAAAAGAGGATGGCACACTCACCTGCCTCCTGTGAACTGACATCATGAGCCAAGATGAGGCATAACAATAGCGTTTATATGTTCACCCGCAGGCATTCTGAGACTACAAGGTGGAGGAGGACCGAAATAACATACTCCCTGTCTCAGTTAATTAACGTAAGGCAATTATAAGGACACAGAACAGTGCTCTCGCAAGCCATAAAAAGTACATTAAATGAAAACAACTGGTTGCCTTAATCGACCGACTGAGGGTTATTTTTCCCAATTATGACAACTTGGTTTCATAGCAAAACACGTGGGTTTCACATTTCTCCCACGTTAGACCGCTACGCCACGATATAACGGTTTAATTTTTAATAAAACAACAAAACCCTTTCCATATCCAATAGAAATCTCTGTATAAAGAGAGTCGATTGTACGATTCTGACTATATCATGAGCATGACTATATTATATCAAATAGTGATGACACCAGGTGTTCGCGAAAAGATGAGCGTATCCTGCACCACAAACACATGCAAAGGCAAGTCAATGGTTCACCTACAAGGGATCATATGGTACAAGTCAAAATATGGAATTGTATCGGACATCATTTTTGTCACTGATGCGTCACATTTGGAAATGTCCTCCACATGTCGAACATAAAACGTTTTTAAAGCTTTATTAAGGCCTTGAGTGTTGTAACCTTGGTCAAACTACTAAAGTGATGTTGAAACAAAGTGAGGAGTTCGAGTAGCCGGGGACCGCCTCCGTGGTCTAGTGGT